TCAAGACTTATCTTTCATTTTGATTTATGCTTTAGTGTTTATCAAAATTTGACAGAACACATTTGTATAATAATTATATTATTAATGCAATGGATGATGTTGTTGCTTGTTTACTACTTTACATTGTTGTTGATATTATACATGACGTCCTCCGCCCCAGAACGTTTCCGCCGTTCCTGGTTTTGGGGTGTGACAGATTGGTATCAGAGCATTGTTTATAGTGAATTAAGTATATCAACCCATAAAAGATATACTAACTATAAATACATAAGGGATTAAAAATACTCTGACCAAGAGTTTATACTTTAAATAGTAAAATATTTAAGTAGGTATACGTGCTGCATTCATACTAAAATCAGTGTCACTAGGACAGTACAAAAGAATTACGATTGTTGGACAACACAAGTGGGCTTAGAGACATATGGTCAAAACTGGGAAGATATAGCCTGATCGCCTATATTATCCGAGGGTTGACTAGCATGTGCCTAAGTTTAAGTGTGTGGTTGCAACAATGCTAAAATCTTACCAACCCTACCACAATGAGAACAATAGAACATAACATTAAAATTTAAATACTATAGGTGTATTTGGTGTTACTATAAGTACTTTATACTTGAGAATTAAAACGGGATCTTCATTACTAAGTTGATAGTTGCTAAGTGGATACACTAAGGCTACATGTAATTAGGATGTTATAGACTTAGAATCTGTGATAATTTTGCCTTACCCCTATTCTGTGTGAATTTGGAATTAAGGTCACTTATTCGAAGGTCTATCCTATTTAGATTACACATAGCTGGTATGCACTTCACAAATAGCGATGTAACTGATGAAGATTTTCTAAATAATTATCTAGATAGTTCGTCTAATAATTATTCTCTTACCCTAAATTCTCGCATAGAAAACATAACTGGACTCCATCCCCTCGACAACCAGTACCTTCCGAATGAAGTCATAGCTGGTTGGTTTGGAGAATAACCAGAGAACGATCATCCTATCCCTTGATGATCACCATGAAGAAGACCTTTCGTATGATACTAACCCCGAACCAGAGGTTGAGAACCTACCCCAAGCAGCTCCTTTCCAATTCCTAACCCTCGTCCGGCTTTTCATGGCCCGACCCTGAGTGAGTGGAATGCTAAACATGGAGCCAAGAACAAGATCAGGCTATGCTATTTGATGCCGACTGAAGCTTTTACGACTTGAGCAATGAGGGCTTAACAGATATAGTCTTGCCAATCTTGGTCCGTAGAGAGGCCCGAAATGAGATTCAAGGCAGGACAGCCCTACATCAGATTTCAGAAATAGTCGCCTACGCTAGAATGCATACCCTCCACACCATTCATCTAGGAGATGCACACGAGAGATCAGAGAGAAGCCATGAAACCCTGCTACAAGCACTGGCCGAATCACGAGCCGAAGTCATAGAGCTCCGGGTACGCCATATGGTGTGCGAAAGACACCTACTTGACATGGAACGTCAATTGGTTGAACTACGAGTTCACCAGAGGGATGACCGTCGCCAGTAGTAGACGCTTTACTTTATTTCCCTTATACAAAGGAATCGTATTTTTCTGTCTATGCCAGATGTGGCATTTTCTATGAAATTATCTTGTACCGTAAGTACTTTAGTTAGGTCTTTATGCTGTCAGGAACTATCTTTAGTGGATATGATGTAAGACCTTTACAAGGTCATTTTCCAGAATCTTTACATCGTGAATATCACAGATATTGACAGCCGGCTAACTTCTGTGTCATTCTTCATTCAAGTACTCTTGTCATTCATTCATAAGAGTCTATCTGAATCATGCTTTAGTCAAATCATTGGACTATAACGATTTATCTCCGGAGACACTTCCAAGTCTCTTTCAGTGGTTGGATCTTGTTATTCACCAACTCATGATACCTCAGCTCGAACGACAAACATCTTGAGACCATTCTACGAACTTACTTCCACCCGTGACTAGGACTGCATCATGGGGATGTAGGTCCAACTTTCGAGAACATACTTCTACTCTTTACATGAACAATCTAAGTACATCAGGGTCAACCAAAGTCGCTCACAAAATCTTTATTCTTTCATGTTAACAGAATCATGTCATCATCCGGAAACAACCAGCCAAGCAACGAGACCTATACTTTTTCGATGGACGCCGCTACCTTTCAAACGACATTAACAGCTGCTGTAGTGGCTGCCGTAACCGCAGTCATTGCGCACTGTAGCGCTAGCAGCACAGTCGATACTACTGATGGGAATGAAGTTCCCAATCATGATATCCATCCAGGAAGTCACGAAAGAGTAACAGTCACAGGCTCGCAAAGCCGGAAAGCAGAGAACAAGAAACGAAAGCGTCAAGCCCGGAAGGAGCGCAAGAGAGCCCAAAAGCTGGCTATACAACAGCAACAAGTGGAAACCCCTGCCGTTCCCGTACCGAGCAGACTATATGAGGGAAAACTCCCTAAGTGTGATAAATGTAGTTTCCATCATCTTGGGGCTTGCCATGAGATGCAATGTTGCAATTGCCTAAACATAGGGCATCATGCTCGTGACTGTGGAGCACCGAAATGACCCATCACTCAAGTCCCTTTCATCGAGACTGACCCTGCGTGCAAGACGAGTTATAGCGCAGAACGATTTAAGAAGCAATTTTCAAAGTGGAGTAACGAGGAGGGCACTCGTGTCCACATAACACTAGCTAAGCACCGTAATTCCGTCACCAAAGCTAGTACTAGCCAGACATGCCACCAGTGTGGTGAGACAGGGCACTTCAAGAAAGATTGCCCGATAATGCAGAATTCTGGCGCAGATGGGAAGATTCTCAAGATCACAGCTACAGGAGATCCTGCTCAGGAACCACGTTAATGTAATTAAGGCGTTTCGTTGTAACAGACTTAAAAACTATCTAGAACTAGTGCAACTAGAGTCTTACCTTTTGCAAGATCCTATCTGTCTAAGGACTCTCGTGCTGCGTATACTTGTCTTTTGTAGTATACCTTATTCGCAGCAATAGTCTTGTGGTAAACCTAAAGTACTGTAACTCTGTTCATGGTTGCACGGTTGTGTTTTGTCTGTAAACGTCTTATGTTCAAATCTAATGTCTTTAAGTTTCGGTATGATTTCGACATTATCATACGACTCGATTCAATTTGATCCTCACGAAAACAGCTTCATACGTACACCCCTTTCTTCTAGATCACTTTTCCAGCGAAACCGTCACATCAGAACGCCGAGGTACTCATGCCAGGAGTACCTATTAGTTATTTTCTTTCCGAAGAAATCCCCTAAGTACCACTCGTGCAGTACATCAAGTTTAATCCAGGGATTCATGCGGTTGATCTATCACTGAAGAATGTATGCATAAGAGTGATATATAATCAAGGTTGTACAGGTTTAGAATTGATGATTCCACTTTAAATTCTTTTTCCCCGATGGGATGTGAACTTAAAGAAGAACCAGTTATTCGACTACCTTTTCAACCTTAATTATATATGACTCATATACACGAAAGGGTGACTGTGAAACTAGGTATGAATTCTAATATGAACTTTAGGATGGAGAACTGCCTAAGTACGAGTAATCACATTGTCATGAGAACAAGCATAGAACCCAGTACGACTCCCGAAAACAGGTCGCCCTATAGTTTAAACACCCACGGAGATACAAGAACCACTACTAGAAAACAGCCCTTTAATGACGCGCAAACAATGACACGCGCCGATAGAAGACGCGCATTTGTGCGTGCCCTAAAATATAATGTCAGTTTTGCAAAATTTGAAGGATAGTAGACACGCATTTTTTGGGCGCCCTAAAGTTAGTGTCCAATAAAAAAAGAAAAAAAAACACGGAGGGCACCTATCCTAACAAGCGTGACGTGTAATCGTGTCGCTTTATAATTGTAGACTATGAGCGTGCGTTTTCGTTTTTTAATAGCCAAAAAATTAAAAACCCCGCCTGTTGCATCTCCTCCTTCCACAGGAACGCTCACCTCACCTCATTCCACAGAAACGCTCACCTCATCAGACTCACCATCATCTATCTCTCTGTCTCTCTGTCTGTCTGTCTGTCTGTCTCTCTCTCTCTACAAATCCCCTCTACGGTACAGACCACCACTATCTTGTACCACCACCATGGCCGTCGCACCTACATCTCACCACCTGCAACCTCAACACGATCAACCATCACCACCATTCTTACCATCCATTGCCGCCCTACCATCTTCTCCATCACCACCTTTTTCTTATTCCATGTGAAACCCTAAAATCGGTACCAACAACTAATAGGGTTTGGAGAAAAACTTGATCTAAGAAAAATCAAAGCAAACGACTTAGAAGATGCTACCATATACTCGTACAAAGCAACTCAGGTAGGTTATTTAATAAATTTTGTCTTTAATTCTAAAGATATTTCCTTTGATTCTAACACTCTTTCGTTGTCCCCCCCCCCCTTTCTTCGCAAACACACATGAATTATGAGTTCCTTCTCTTTTCCTATGGGGTTCACGAAGCGTAGTTTATACATCTAGGGTTTCTGAATTTCAAGTATTATGAACACAAATTCTAGAAGAAATATGGTCAACCAGCTCAAATATGGTCCGATTCCAGTTCTCAAAGCCCTCAACTCCGATTGACATGTCATTAAGGCTCAACAGGTACCACAATCGTTATTTTTCTATTTGTATATATTTGTTTCTTTATTTACATATTTTGTGACTATATTATGATTGTTTGGACCTGCTTGGAAAAAACTTAGTCTGTATGATGTATGATTGTAACATGTTTGTATCAGAAAGCAAAAATGTTGGGTTCCTGTTTGTTTACTTTAAGGTTGGAATGTTGGATCCCCCAAGAGAGGAAGTAAGAGAGGTTGTTAAGAAAGGAATTGACTGGAATGATGCTAACAATTAGGTTGTATAGGTTCAGAACATGCTTAAAAAATATGCACATAAAGTGTTTGTAGAAATGCCAAAGAGAGAAAAAAAAGTGGTGAAACTGTTAAAACTATGGTGACAGCATTGAAGCTAAGAGGTTCTTCACCAAATTCATCCAAAATGAGGTAGTCCATGAAATTAGTATCAATCCTAATGTATCTGTTCCTTTTTCACATGTTTCTATCTTATAAGGAGTTTAATTTATATTCATTGACTTCAAGAGTTCTTCATATTTGTACAGGTGGAAGCAAGCATTGAGTATAATTGTAGGCATGAAGGTCCAGACAATTATGGTATTTAACACAATTTGGGATGAATCTCAAAGCTTCTCTACAATGTCAAAGCTACTAGAATATATTTATTGGTGGCTATATTGCAAGCCTTCAGTAATGCTATTGGTTTTGCTGTGGACCACAACAAAAAAGTGAGTAGTTGATAGAAATATTTTCTATAGTCAGTTTTATATTTTTAATGTTTCTACAACTTTGGATTTAGGTTTTCTGTGTGATTGGAGATGTTTTCTTTTTACATGATACTAATCGATTAGCGCTTTTGAAATAGAGGTACAAAATACAAATCCTACATTTCTTAGATTTTTATATTTATGTTTTTGCTAAATTTCTTGTTTTTGAAGGATTTCAAGAAAACAGATGACATTAATTTTACTAGATTATTAGGGTTGGAACGTTCCCACATGGGCATCTTCACTGAGTTGGGTATCCTTTACGCCAGATACCGCTACGAGATTATTAGGGCTGGAACGTTCCCACATGGAAGTATGTATAATGGAGATTTTGTTTTTGGTAATTGCATTTGCAGGCAGGACAGCTTCCTCTTGTAAAACCATATATGGTTGCAGTTTAGAGCAACAATGTATCTGCTGTAAATGAGGCATTGAATGAAATATATGTGGAGGAGGAAGACTATGATATGTTACGTGAGTCTATTGATTTGCATGACAACTTTGACCAGATTGGCCTTGCGCAGAAGGTACTTTGTTTGTGGTACTATTATTATTGTTATTAAATGAAGTGAATTGTGATGTCATGATATTGATTGATGCATATGAATGGATTGTTGCAGATTGAGAAACACGAGCTTCTTGAGATGAGGCATGTGGCTGCATATATTTACAAGAAGGCTGGTAGATAGAAGCAGTCAATTGCATTGTCTAAGAAAGACAAGGTTTACAAGGATGCCATGGAGACAGCCTCACAATCTGGTGACCGTGAGTTAGCAGAAGAATTACTCCTTTATTTCATCGACCAGGTACAAACCTATTCACTGTGGTGGGTTGTATGTTGAATATGAGGGTATTTGTGAGGGCCAATTGGTAAATTCAGTGTTTTATAATAACATAATATAATTGGGGTTATGCATCATTTCAGGGAAAGAAGGAATGCTTTGAACAATATGATCGATTTTTCCCTCCCATATCTGGTTTAGGTCTGTTTTTTTGTTAAGCCTGTACATATTAATATGATATTCTATGCGTCCTTAATTTTATAACAGAGGATCTTTTCGATCTAAAACCCGACTTTTCTTCCACCATTAGCATTTAGTTTAGCAGATGTCCTCGAAACTCACAAATCCTTTTTAGTGGTTTTGATTCATACATAACTCAGCATCTTAGAAGAGGCAGTCCAATTGTTTGTTTTAATTCCTCTCCAAGGTACGTACAACTGCTTTCAATTTCTCATCTCATCTTCTATCTCTATGGGGTTGGTTTAGGTAATCGCATGTAGATTCCCGCAATAGAATTATTTGGTTACGTGTTTTTTTGTAAATGGATAAATGGCCTGCCATCTGAATTAAGATTCTGGTATAATTTTATCTTGAAGGTTATATGGTACATAGGATCAGATTAATCAAATATTAAACAATGTTGCCCAAAACAAATCCAGCAGATCCCTAATCTAAATTAAATTATGAATGTAAGGATTTTCCTCAAAATTGTTAAACACTATGTTATGTGTCCTGTAGGATGGAGGTTGCATTTTCCGGTGACACTACTCGCCTGAGTTACAGGTTGACATGGGAGTTCTTGCCATGTTTACTACCAGTGTTTACCTCCATAATTGTATCATCAATCCTGATATGGAATTATGAAGGTTCAGACAACTCAGAAAGAGCTACTTCTCTTTATGATGGTGAATCATGGATGCCATGTCTGAAAGGACTAAGCCCTTTTTGGTTAATGGGTTCCAGAATGATTTCATTTTGCTTGATTTTAGCTGCTTCCATTGCTGATGTTGCTACTCATGGCACCAACTTATTTTACTAATATACCCAGTAAGTCATCTACTACTACCACAAACTTGCAATGAGAATGAGTATGTTGTTGCTCTTTTATAATTATTTCTCTAACTTACAACTTCTGTTTGTGTTTAGGTGGACTTTTATGTTGACAACAATCTATTTTCTGGTATTTAAATTATCGGTTAATCAATTCATGTAGGTTGAGTATGAATATTATTCAAGTGTCATCTTTTTCTTTGACTTGGTTTTGTCATTTTTTATTTTTGTTTGGTTTGGATCGGTGGTATCTGCTTCCGGATGTTTCCGGATGGACAAGAAGAAGATGTATAATGCTCATAGCATAATAGATACAGAGCAAGGAATTGGAATCTATATGCCCGTCAATCATGCAGGAAAGGAGAAACCAGTAAATCTTCAAGAGGAATGTTATTTCTAACCAACTGCTGCCATTTGGGGCTACATTTTTCAAATTGTATTTCAGGTGCTTTAACTTTAACATAATATGCCAATATTAAATAATTACCTCTTTGGAAACCAATCTAATCTCATCTGAAACTTAATTTTTCCTTCACAGATTACTGTTGGGGCAGTGATGCTGACTGATGGTGTTTATTGGCTTGTAATCTTCCCATTTCTTAACATTTCAAATTATGAAATGAGTTTTGTAAGTCTTTGTAATTACTTTACACCATTTTTCGTGATTTGGGAGTTTTTTGTGGGGTTTAAAGATTTAATTTGTTGTTGTTGTTGTTGTTTCTTAAAACCAGTTGACAGTTGTTGTTCATTCCCTTAATCTTGTTTTGGTGCTAGGAGACACTGCCATGAATAGCTTGGTAAAATTTCTTCATCATTAATTTGTTTCAATAACTATTTTTTTCTTATATTCTAACTAAAAAAATTGAAATGAAACACTCTTGTTTCAGCGTTTCCCTTGGTTCAGAATATCATTTTTTATCATGTTCACTGTGTTATATGTGATCTTCGAGTGGATTGTTCATGCCTTTGTTTCAACATGGTAAGTATACAAAACACCAGGTATGGGTGGAGGAGGATTTGCTCCACCACCACCACCACCAATGGGTTGAATGGGGATGCCGCCTATACCACCATTTGGAATGCCACCAATGAGCTCTTACTGATTCATTCATTATTGGTGGATGAAAGAACAAACGTGAACAATTTCAAGTCGTGTGTTTTGGGGGTTAAAAGGTAGATTTCTTCTAGATATGAGAATAAATAAGGCGTGGTTCTACTTTTTTTTTGGGTAGTTGAGGAATTTTTTGCAGGTGGATAGGCAAGATGAGGGAGTGTTCGATGATATGTTTTCAGCCAGTGGTTGATGCTTTTGATCCAAGATTATTAGTGGCTCCTACTGTTTCCCATGTCATTAATTTTACTACTGTCAAGGTATTCTTTTTTTTTTTATTACATTTCCATAATGGATAAAATTTTATAATATTATTAAATGAATGTGAATTCTAGATATTTTTTTTCTTCTTGTTTCATATACAGGAAGAGGATTTGTATGAAATTGACATTCCACTAAAATTCACTACTTCTGTGGGCACAAGGATACATGGTTTAGCATGTTGGTTTGATGTTCTCTTCAATGGAAGGTAATAAATTATATACATATATTTTTTTTTCTAGTTATTTAGAGAAAAAAAAATAATAATAATTTTGTATGTTGATTTATATTACAACACAGTGCAAAGGTGGTTGACGACTGCCCCTGGTGCACCCACAACTCACTGGTATCAACTTCGTTGTGTTCTGTCTCAACCAATTTATGTTAAACTTTGGTTTCGGCCCCTTTTCTTATGATCTGTTTCTACAAGAGAACCACTAATACTTTTTTTCCCCAATCAAACCATGAAAGTTGCATTTTGACCTTTTAATTACGACTTTCTATTAGCTCTTGTTACTTTATTCATTAAATATGTTCTTGTTATTTATATAAACATTAAACATTTGTTGTTTTTTCAAGTTTTTGGCAGATATACAAGTTGATGATGAAAACATTGTTCCAAGACCATCTACTAAAACAAGGTTGGTGTAAGAGTTGATGACGAGAACATTATTCCAAGACCTTCAGTGAGTTATGATGATGTCCCTTAATAGCAATGTAGTACTAGGTTATATAGTTAGGGATGATTATTGTTATTTGAGATGTTAGTGCAATGAATTATCTTTCATATTATTAATTGTATATGGTATTTTATTTTATATTATGCAATGGATTGTATTTTTTGTATATGGTATTTTATTTCTATTATGAGAGATTAAATGCAAATTTAATTTATAAATTAATAAATATATAAATATATATATATTTTTTAAAAAATTAAAATTACGATACGCAAAAATGTGTGTCGTCTTCATTTATGACATGGCCTTTCTTGACTAGTGCTTCCTTGATACGTATTGCGTGTCATAAACACGCGCGTCGTAAGGTTACGACACGCGAATGTGTGTCGTCTTCCTTTATGACAGGGCCTTCCTTGATACGCAATGTGCGTCGTAAATGCGCGTCGTCTATAGACGACGCGCAAAAGCGCGTCATCTCTCTTTATTACAGGGCCTTCCTTGACACGCATTTGCGCGTCGTCTGAGCGTTTTACGACGCGCAATGAGCGTCGTAAAAGGCCTTTTTTCTAGTAGTGAACAGTTTGGACTACTTAGCGAACTACACATAAATAGAATTAGAAGACTAGGTTTCTCACCCTAGAGAACCTCGGTCATATTCTTCCAGAGATCGACGGATCGCATTGCATGTACCTCGGTTATTGAGGACTCCGTCGAGATTTTTCATTAGAAATCGTTATCTCTGCCGCGCGTAGACAAAATAGTTGAGCAAACGCAAAGAAAGAAACTACTTCCAGGAATGGATCCGGGATCTGAATATCACCAGTTCGAGTGTTAGGGAAAGATGTCCGGAAGACTATCTCCTGAACTCGATACGGACACTTCAAGTCCGTAGTGATACCCTTCGGATAGGACCAATGCGCCCATAGCTTTTATAAGCTAAATGAGTAGGGTACGTCTTTCTTACCTGGATCAGTTCGTCATTTCTCCTTGTAATGACTTACTTATCTACCACTGTAGTAAGAAGGAACCCATGGGAAAACATCTCCTCCAGAGAAACTTTTAACGATGTTCTCAAAGCACGAGTTTTGAAATTGAAGAGTCAAATTTCTAAGACCCACTATTAGTAGTGTGGGAAATTTTGAGTACTCTTTTGATTTGTCAAAACCGCTGAGCATGTATCGACATCAGAGACGCCGACATTCCTTCGCCAAACTCTAGGTCTTACCGACCTACCGCCTTAGTTCATTCAGAACTCCTCGCAAACTACAGAAACTCATACGACTTTGACCCAGCAAGGGGTGGCCTTGACTGGGAAGTTACTCAAGAAAAGGAACCTTTGAGATTCCAAGTGAGTGACCAAGTTCTTTAGAATAACTCACTCTGGGAATGGCTTTATACGCTTCGTAAAGCGTGGAAAGCTAAATCCAAGTTAGACAGGACCTCCGAGATTCTTATCAGAATCGGTCCTGTGCCTCGCACAAACTAGATCTACTCCGCGAACTCAGTGACATACTTTCTACTCTTCGCATCTCGATCGTGAAACTATACCTTTCCGTTAGGACTCTTGCAAGCCCACTCGTCGAGATCCTCGCCTTCGTATTAGAACCGTGGTGACCCTCGACCGAGAGGTGAAGCGGACGAAGCAACATCGTCGCCAGTTAGTGAAGGTTCGTTGGAATGCCAACCGAGAGCCCGATTTCACTTAAGTGCGCTAGAACCAATCAATTAGGAAGTTTTCTCCTCACGTCTCGATCATTCGCACATACTTCCTTGCCTAAATTCTAATTTCGGGACGAAATTCCCTTTAACAGGGGGATGATGTGACAACCTGAAATTTCCATTCTAAATCAAACCATTTCAATCCAATAGTAGTAGAGCAGTTACAGTGAAAATTCAAACTTTTGGAATAAGTTTGGCAGTTTTAGGGTTTTACACCAAAAAGGGGTATTAGGAGAGTGGTTGCACAAGGATTTTGTGCAACACTGTAAATTCCATTACCCTAGAATCATTAGAATCCATTCCGAGATTTGAAATATTTTCTGCCAAAAATCTCAGGACTATAAATAGAATTCTGAACCAAATTGGTTCATTAGTTGAATTCCATTTAGAGAAAAGCCCATTTCTCTCTCACGGATCTTCGGGTTTTCATCCCAGATTGTGAGTCTACTTCCCTAGATGTGTTTTAATACTTGTTATATGCTTTATAACATTGTTACATGTCCAAAATCATCCAAGATCACAAGACTTTTGGAGTTTACGGCCAAGGGTTTCTTGGGCCGTAAACCCCATTTCCAAGGGACAAATGTGCCCTAACTCACCCCTTAAGCCTAAGGACTTTAACCCTCATATGCTTGTGACTATTTTAGACATCAAAACACTTCAAAATCATAAGTTTATAGGAGTTTACGGCCAAGAACATTTCTTGGGCCGTAAACCCCTTTTCCAAGGGCTAAAAGTGCCCTAATCACCCCCAAAGGCTTGGACTTCATGTTAGACAAATACCCTAAAGTATCTAGGACCTAGAAAACATAAGGAAAGCACATATGTTGAAGAGTTTACGGCCAAGAGTAATTCTTGGGCCGTAAACTCCTTTAAAGGGGTCAAAGGACACCCTAAACACTTCCTAAGGCCAAGGGACAATTTTGACAAGTACCTAGATGAGTTATGGACTAGCTAAAACATTTAGAACCCCATGTTTGAGGGAGTTTACGGCCCAAGATGTTCTATGGCCGTAAACTCCAAGAAATGGTACCAAATGGTGCCATAAACTCTCCAAAGCCAAGTACAAAAGCCTAGAATTGTTCCTAGTTATTATAGGGACTTGAAGCACCATAATCACCCTCCCAAGGGAGTTTACGGCCGTAAACTCCAAGGGAAAAGGGTCTTTGGGCCGTAAACTCCCCAAAGGAGTCAATATGGTGCCCAAACACTTGTATATGCCTTGAAACAATTCCCACTAAGGTTGTAGTAATTGAAAGTACATCCCAAGCCTTGGTTGGGAGTTTACGGCCAGGAACTTACTTCCTTGGGCCGTAAACTCTAATGAATATGGTCTTTTGACCTTAAACTCACATTAGGGGCATTGCACTCCTTTGTTGCAACCCTTTAGCCTCCTAGCACTTGACCAAAAGTGTTATCCTCGCGCTTAAATGTTATTACTTGTATAATTAGTGTTATAATCACTAATTATTTATATACATATGTTTTCATATGTAATTAGGATCATTGTGTGTGTCTAAGTCTCCACTTGACACCAAGCACTTGTCCGATCCTTCCGTACGATAACAGTCCGTTCAATTCCAGTCACTTACCGCAGGTGAGTTCATACCCCTTAACTAATGTTTTAAACTCTTTTTAAATGTTTTATGGGGGGGATACAAGTAGAATCATGCTACTTATTATGTCAATCACATGTGATTAGCAAGTAGGATTATATTACTTATTACATCAATCACATGTGATTAATATACAACAATCAAATGATTTGGCTACTCATTAGCCGTTTTACCAAACAGTTTCCTTCAAATGACTTTTTATAACATTTTATATGTTTTAAACTCCTTTTTACACTGTACAGCTTACTCCGTACATTTCCTTTCAAACTTATTTACAACTGTGTTTCAAACAAATGTTTCCTTATACTTAAACTGTTTTATTAAACTTATGCCTTCAAATTGTTTTATAGATTGACACCAAGTCGATCTTTTCTTAAAATAATACTTATATTTCAAATGTCTTACAAATCTTATTTATGCTTTTATATTATAAATTGCATGCCTCTATATGTATACTTATATAAGAAATGTTTAAAAGACTTAGGAAGGCTATCCACCCTATTTCCTTTTCGCGCCTTGAGATGTGGTCTGGTGGGATTTTGGGTATTCGTCCGAAGGTCGTTTAAATATTAGTTATATATCATGTACACATATATAGTCATAAAAGGTCCTTCCAGTTCATCCTATGCCCTTGGGTAGCAAGGGTATACATCCATGTCCATACGTACACTTAGATTACTAGAAAGCTACCATATGGGTAGTTCAGGAAGATACTAGAACCATTGCTAGAACGCGATATCATTCAATGAGTCAGTTCATTCATGAGTCAATACTTTCTAGAACTTTTCAGTACATTACATATACATCTATACTAGGACGAGAACATATACAACTATACTAGAATGATTACATTACTATACTTGCTAGATAGAGAGAACACACATTACAGCTAGCACACGTAGAACATTACAGTACACTACTGTACTATTACATGATCGCTCTTACTTGAGTACAATTACATGATCACACTTACATATACATAGAACAGACGTCATTAGGTGCTATAGCACGGAACCAGTTCAGGATCTAACTATACTGATGAATCACACCACAATTGTGATAGTTATATCGAGTATACATGATCATTCGGTAATGTGGATGCTCACGGCTTGCGTTCATGCAGGGGTCGTGGGTAGGTCCCAAAATCCCTTTGATAGGGGAGCGTATAGTCTGGGATCTAGACATCACATTATACCTTATCCCTCAAATAAGGCAGTTGAGTACCGATGTAGTTATTTTTATTAAATACTACAGTACTTGGAAGTATTACCCTAGATTTAAGGTAATAAGTACGGTTGTAGTTGGACACTACACCATAGTACTACATTGATTTTCCATTACATATTTTTAGTGATAACCTCACTTAAACATTA